ACAATCACGGCCACAGACCCAAGAAACCCACCGACTCAAGAGAAAGAGACCATGCTGTCTTAACTGGCATAAAAAAGTGAAGGAGTCATTTAACAAATAGGATACAAATTAAAAGACAACTATGTTAACTTTTAGGCAGTGGATATTAATGCCTTTGCTAAAATGTATAAATAGTATAAAGTTTGGTAGTTGATTGCTGCCTTTGTGGATTTTCCATCAAGTGCCCCTTTCTGCATAGAACTGTAAAGAAATGCTTTGACTTTTGTATGTGGATTGGCTTCTTGCACACTATAGCAATCCTTTTTCACTGTCTGCTTGCTCCTTATGATAAGGTCACTACTCGCTGAGTTTCTGGGTAATGGCTCTGTATTCATATCATGCTTGTGAAGAATGATGTCCTTAATGGCCCTCTGAATCCAGGTTTCTTAATCCTTAAGTTTAGTAGTTTCACAAATGTGAAACTGTAAAACAAAGTTTTCCACCTCTCTTACAGAGGAACATAGTACCTTTTACACACTTTCCAGCGTAGTTCATGATTGTTTAGTGGTAAAAGAATACATGTGTCTGTATGACTAAAGTGAAGTACTGACATTTGAAACAATGACGACCATTCAGGCTTTTGTATCTCTGTTCAACTTGTGCTTCTTTTAGAGAAAAAATATTAAAATAGTTAATTTGGTTTTTTAAGGGCCAGGTGATATGCTATCTAGAGACTGTAACCTTGATTTATGAAAAGGAATTACTGTTTTTCAGGAAAAATTAGATATGGCAGCGTATCCTGTGGAAAGCATTAGGAACTTCAGTATTATAGCTCATGTAGATCATGGCAAAAGTACACTAGCAGACAGATTGCTGGAAATTACAGGTAAGCATTCTCATTTTATACTACCTTTTCCTGACATGGAAGGTGGCATCTGAAGTTTCTGTATGGTTGATTATTACTAAAATTTTTAATATTTTTGCTGTTCTAGTGTTGCTTGTGCTTTTAAGCTCTCAGTTGTGTAGTGTTACAGATATATGGACTTTGTGGTTGAGATCTGCCTTCATGTAAAGAAGTTGTAATTCATTTAAAGAAGTACATATTTTGGAAAGGGACTGAAAAGGAGTTTCAAGATGTTCCTTGTTTCAACATCTTCCTTGTTCAAGGTGTCAGTCATTCTAACTAGTCACCCATTGGAACAGTACATGTTAAGTTAATGATGTTTACTGCTGGTGGTTTAGGTGGACAGAAGGGGTGAGACTGTCATGACCTGGGAATTCTGGACTCTTATTTAAGGTTGAATGAAACAAAACCAGGGAGAGAAACTTCTGATCAAAGTTATTTTTTATTATTACCGCCCATGTATCACTATGAGCATTTCTGCCTGATGCTGGTGATAGAATGGGATTTTGAATTCAGGTCTGTCACTGTATGCTAATTGTTGTCTGGCACTCGAGATTGATTTTAGAGCTGTGGGCCACTCTTCTTCAGTGATAGGAGGGGAAGTTTCCTTAAGTATCAAAATTGTTTACAATTCAAGGGTATTTTTGCTTCTTCTTAATTTAGTAGATGATGTTTTTTATCCTGCTTATTCAGGATAGTATTTTATGTAACTTTATTGTGTAAACTTCATTTGACAAATGTAAAGAGTTGATTCACTGTTTTGTTTTTGGTTGAAATCTTTGTTTAGCTTAATTGTATGGGAAAGCTTCATTTGCTCTTGGTTAACTTTTTGTTAATGGCATTTTCAAGATTTATGTAGCAAATTAGGTAATAAAGCTTTCTTTTTTTTTCTTATTTTTAGGAACAATTTCTAAAACTGACCGTAATAAACAAGTGCTGGATAAACTTCAAGTGGAACGTGAAAGAGGAATTACAGTTAAAGCCCAATCTGCATCTCTCTTTTACAATCATGAAGGAGTAAACTACCTCTTAAATCTTATTGACACACCAGTAAGTTACATATGAACAGTGTTGAAATCACACAAATCTAAATGTCTTTATAGTTAAAATTAGGAGATTTCTGGCTTCCTGTGTTTATTCAATTGCTCTTTTAAAAGAATGTGAACTTATACACAAATGGAAACAACGTAGTACAGACTTCTTTGCAAAAATACCTGAAATTGTAAACATTTGTTTTCTCCATAGGGCCACGTAGATTTCAGCTATGAAGTATCACGGTCACTATCTGCCTGTCAAGGTGTCATACTTGTAGTGGATGCAAATGAGGTGTAGTACTTAATTCTTCTTTTCTATTTAGCATTTCAGGATTTCCTTATGCTAGAGGGAAACTACATTATGGGGTTTTTTTAGTTTTTCTGACAGTTTTTTTGCCCCTCGCCTATCTCCATGAAAGTATTACCTTGCAGAAAAAGAATAATGTGACTTTAAAGCAGTTGCTTAAAATCAATCATCTTTTATTTATCCATCTCCTAAATGAAAGAGTAGACAGAATAGCAAAGTAATCTTAAATTGTATAGTATGCCTAAAGATATTCTCCAGAACCACACCAAAACTGAGGAGATTTCTGTGTTAAACTTTACAATGTTATTTTCTAGGGTATTCAGGCTCAGACAGTGGCAAACTTCTATCTCGCCTTTGAAGCACAGCTTTCAATAATTCCTGTCATAAACAAGGTAATAAAGTTTTTAGTGTTTTCTGTTAAATACTTGGGTTGTTTAAATGTGTATAGTGCTGATCAGAAATGTAACCTTAAAGAGAAGTACACAACAAAGAAAGTTATTTATTATAATATTTATAGGGTTTAGATATAACATTACTAGAATGTAATATAAATTTTCTATATTTGCTGTCTGTGTAAAATTTTACAATAACTGCTGTGAAATTTTTAATTTCATGAAATATATTTAGGTATTTAAAAAACGTAGCACTTAAGGATGTGCTTAGTGGTGGAGCTTGCAGTGCTGTGTTTATGGTTGGAATTGGTGATATTAAAAGTTCATTAATATTGAGGAAACAACATATTTAAATATTTATCAATATTTAAAATATCAATATTTAAAAAGCGGAGTCTTAATTTTAAATGAAATTCTAAGCATTACTTTCTATGCAATTTTGAGAGTAATAGTATTGCAATCACGAGATTAATTACTGCTCAGCTTATGTTAATTGTTTTTTGTAGATTTATATTGTACTTAATATGTGATCATATAAACAGTGTAGGTAGCACTTCATGATTTCAAATTACTTTGTAAACTAAAGATTTTTACTAACTCTTGGACAAAGGTGTTTTCCCCAGTGAAACAAGCCAGAACTAGAAGGGTTACACATGGGATCCTTCCCCAAATCAATAGAAGAAGACTTTATAAAATTAATATTTATATTTTCCTAAAGATGCACAATATTTACTCATAAATACATAAAGATTCTGTGTTGTACTTTTGAAAGCTACAGTACTGGATGATGTGGGAGGTGTGATCGCTTGTATAGCAGTTTGTTGTTTTGCAGATTGACTTGAAAAACGCAGACCCTGAAAGAGTTGAAAAACAAATTGAGAAGCTGTTTGATATCCCTACAGATGAATGTATAAGGGTAAGATCTTTAAGTTTTATAACATGGCTGATAATATACCTTTGTAACTAATGAGTGACATGTGCATATTGTAAATTAAGAGAGTGCTATTGTCTGCCTGTTCTTGTCTGACGTAAGAATTTCTTTAAATTTTGTCTCCTATAAGAGTGGAGAAAATAACCATTAGTTAAAAATTCTAGTAGTTTTTCAGGAATGGAATCCGGGATTTAAAATTATTTCTCACTGTCAATCCATAAATGGTTTTTGTTTCTATCATAAATATAATAGCCATTCACAAAAGAAAAAACAGTATTAGTAAGAGCATTCTAGAGTCTCCTTTTGAGTGCTTTAATGAGTGCCACTCAAACTGTCTAAGTAAACACGACAGTATTTAATTAATAAGTGTCTTATAAAGTTGTTGTTGGATTTGTTTTAGATTTCTGCTAAACAAGGAACAAATGTTGAAAAAGTTCTTCAAAAGGTCATTGAGAAGATCCCACCGTAAGTCTGTATTTAGTTATGTACCTAATTAACCTTACAAAGTAATTAGAAAATCATGAGTTGCATTTATATGGTATTGGCAGTAGTTTTACATTTAATAGGCATCTAATTTAAAGAAAATACTCTCTAGAGATGTCAGGAGAAACAGAAGAAGAATAGTGACTCGTGCTTAAACAGGAGAGGTGAATTGGTCACCAGCGAGGCTGAAAAGCAGAGGGACATTTTCTTTACCTCTGCAGTGTTGGGCTTTAGGACTGGGGAGCAAAAATGCAGGTTGATGTACACCCACTGTCAGCAAAGGAATTGGTATGTGAACTATTACAGGAGCCTGACCCCTGTGCATCCGCTGGCCCTGATAGTATCCACCTGAGGATTGTAGGAGAGCTGGCTGTGTCCATGCAAAGCTTCTCTTCGTAATCTTTGAGAAGCTGTGGAGATCAGGGGACATCTTGTAAGACTGGAGGAATGCTAATATCCAATTTACAAGAAGATCTTAAAGGAGGTTCCAGGAATTTATAGGCC